TGGTCAGAACACTCTCCATGGTACCATTCTGGTAATCAATCAGAACTAGGGTGGGGATAGTGACTCAACCACAGGTCTCCCGGTCAGTGAACCACTCCGGATTCCAGACGATGTCAAACCCATTGATGTAGACATCAAACTACAGCATCCAACATCTCTTGAAGTCAAAACAATCACTGCCAGTTCATTTGAGTTTGGCTCCTTTCAGCATGCCATCAGCGAAAATGAGATGTATGACAAGGCGTGGTTCATGGCATCCTTTTCTACAAGGTCAAATACAACTTCAAGTGCAACACACCCTGTAGCTGCAAATGAATCTCTACACATTGATATTTCTCAACTGACTGAGCCTCTTGATAGTCAATCACCGCTTACAGAACAATCAAGTGATGATGAGACTAGCCTCCACGTCCATTCTGATCAGAACAGTGATACACAACCTGAGGACGAGCAATCTTTGGAGTCGGTTACTTCAGGTGCAACTTTTGAACATTACCTTGTTTCGGATATTGAACAGCCTATGGCAATGACAACTCCTAGTCTAGACAATTCAGGTGGGAATTCCAGAGTCCATGGAATTGAACAAAGTGAAGGAAGCACTAAAACTTCTGAAGGACCTGGTGTACACTCATCAGCCAAAGCACTGAAGAAGACAGTAGTGCCAACCTGGGCAGCCACCAATTCCTTACTCGTTCAGGCACAGCAGAAAGGAAATCAATCCTTGACAAAGAGTGCGATTGTTGCTCCTCTGTTACGCCGACCTCCCACTGACTATTCATCTCTCTTTACAATCTTAAGTCTTGCTCAAGGGATATCAGCTGCTGTGGTTGGTCCTCATAAGAAAACAGTCATCACCCTTGATCTTGATTTGTATGAGAGAGCAACCAAACTTCAATCTTCCACAGGGAACAAGAACTGGATTCTTCGAATTGGTGAACTCCATGCCTGCTTCGCATCACTGCATGCAATTGCAAAATATCTCGAGGACAGTGGCTTGGAATCTATTAGCATTGAAGCAGGCCTCTTTTCCCCTTCAACGATCTGCCAAATATTCACTGGAAAGTGGTTCAAACGTGGTATTGAATTCCACATGACCAACATCATGGCGTGCTATGATCTCCTGTTTGAAGCATCAGTACATCATGAGCACTTGGACAGCATGATTAAGAAATGCGAAGAGCTTCGTAAGAAGTTACACGAGAGAGATAGTGACATTAAACAGGTTTTTGAGGAGGTAACTTCGATGATTAAAGAGCATTATCAAACCACAATCATCCAAGAGAATGACGAGATGGCAACATTCTTACTCAACTACATGAAGCAAGTTGAGAGTTTACTGCATGTGATTCGAGCTAGCAGACAGGGGAACTGGGAGCTGCATCTCGCTTCCATGGAAGAGCAGGTCAAGTACTACTTTGCACATGACTTATACAAGTATGCTAGGCTCGTGCCAATCTACCTTCTTCAAATGCATTCGCTGAAGACATCTGATCCTACTACTTGGGATGCACTAAAGGCAGGGGACTTCATGGTCACTAAATCTGGCATCCCATTCACGAACCTATTTGTTGACCAAACATTGGAACAGCTGATCAGGGAAGTGAAAGTAGCTGGCGGCATCACTGGAATAACACAAAATGAAGAAGCACTGGGTAGGTTTTTCCTGATTGCCCCTGAATTGGTCATCCTCATTCAAGACTTCCAAGATGCTTACTGTTGTACCACCAATGACTCTCAAACTACGAAGGAGCACTATCAGCTCAGAGGTTCTGTGGCTCTTCGCATGCACAGAAATTCCTCAACAATCAAGAAAGCAATCATACGACACTGCGAGGGCAATCCATTTGAAATCAGGTCAATGAAGCTGATGAATATGGTATCTAACATGCAAGTTCCTGAAGCTTTCAAGGAGGACATTCTTGAAAGAGATGTAAAGGTAAAGATCATGTTCCAAGAATTTGTATCTGACAGAATAGTTGAGTCATCGGCCAAGAAATCTATCTGGGACCCAATGAGGAAGGCCAAACTGAAGACATTCAGCTCTTGCAGAAAGAAGACACAGTGTAAGATTGGAGCCAAGCTCGTCAAGCTAAGAGAGGATCGCCAACTTCTTGCAAGATTTCTCGTTGTTCAGCAGTCCAGACCTGGAATGATACATTCACTGGGTGACACAATTGGAAAATATGAATTTTCTGTCATTCCTAGGTCGCTATTTACCTCAGATGGCCTTCTCCTTATCCCATCAGACAAAAGCTCTTTCATCCATGCCATAGAAACCTATGGAACTGAACCGAATAGTCAGTCTGAAGACCAGATCAATGAGCAGCAAGATTCACCCAACATAGAGACATCAGGAGAAGACAAGAAAACAGACAAACTGTGCATCATCGATGCCATGGCAGTTGTCCAGGGGCGGTATTCTGAACCCTGTGTTATCTCTAATATTGTTGTATCTTCGAAGATAAGATAAAGTTGGTATTCTGAACATTGTTGTAACTTTTGTGTTATCTTTTGTTGTATCTTTTCTCTCATCTTATTGGCCGCGCCTGCGCTCATTCTTTGGTGCGCTTGTAATTGTGCGTATTATTAATAAAGTGGCATTTAATTCTCATTTGCATATGCGCACGGGAGATAATATGTCGAGATAATTGGTATTCTGAAAGTTGTTGTATCTTTTATCTTATCTTATCTTGCGTGGTATTTACAACAATATTTACAACAGGTAGGGGGTTGTTGTATCTTTCGTGGTGATATAATGGCGGCAATATTTTTTTGTCCAGAACCAACTTCGTGCCAATAGACGAGTTAGAAGAAGATTGTGTGTTGACCGGAAACATCACAGATGAGAACTTTCTAAGATATTACATGCTAGGATAGGACTATTTTAATGCTCTCATCTTAACCAATACAGTGAAAGCGCGATTTGTCTTCATGATCCACATTCAACAGCGCATAATGATGACGCGCGTAATAAGTGCTCAAATAACTAATTACGCCCAAGATTAATATGCGCTAGGCGCATCTTCAGATATGGCATAAAGTATTCCTATTGGTTGATCTACTTATCAAGCTTATATAAAATAGATTTTGATTGGTAGGGTCCATAAAAATGGGCGTGTCATCAATGGTCAAAGATAAGATAGAGGCGGTCCTTCAAGAGATAACACAGGGATAAAACAATGTTCAGAATACCAACTTACAACAATATTAGCGCTGTGTTATCTCTGGAAGATACAACAAAAGATAACACAAAACTTACAACAATGTTCAGAATACCACCCCTGGCCATAAAGAAGTCCCCATCAATGGTTGACTGCTCCGACTTTGCTGCTGCTTTTGTTAGGAGCATAAGGAAAATTGCATCCCAGTACGATGAAGCACGTGTTATCTTTGATAGATACATTGATGATTCCCTCAAGGCACAGACTAGAGGGAAAAGGACTGCAGGTATTGAACCAGTGAAGTTTGATATCGAGGACAATACCAACATCAAGCTCGTTTCACTGAAGACTCTTCTGTCTCACAACTACACCAAGTCGCAACTGACAGAATATCTTGGAAAGGCTGTTCTGCATGAGTATACAAATAGTAGCAAGAACGTTGTTGTCGTCTACGGAAATGCTACATATTCCAACAAGCCAGATATGTTTGATCCAGAACTCACCCATCACACACATGAGGAAGCGGATACACTCATCCCATTGCATGTACTGGATGCTACCTCAAAAGCAGCAGAGAACATCATAGATATTGATGTTTATTCTCCAGACACTGACGTCTTTGTATATCTGATGGATCTTTGTTCTACACACAATGTCTTAGGTCGCCTTTGCTTCATCACTGGAAAGGGAAATGCGAAACGTACAATTGACATTGCTGAGAGATGTTCTGCAGTTGGTATCGAAAAAAGTTCCAAACAAGTATTATATGTCTAGTTTTGATTATTTCTTTGTTATAAGTTTATTTCAAACACTTCAGAGACAAATTCTTCTAAAATAAACAAAAACAAAAACAAATCAAAACAATAAAATACATAAGAATAAAAACAATGAAATACAAAAGAAATAAGGAAATATCCTGATTCTCGAGCTTTTCTAAAAACACAAAGATATGAAACTTCATATTTATCATCTAGACAGTCAAAGAAATACTGTACTTGTAGTTTTAGTACTTGACAGCTGTTGTATATTCAAAGGATAATTGCATTACCTTTTCTTCCATTCCAAATTATCACAAAATTTCATATCATTTCAATGAGATAATCTTTTTCATTGGGTATATCAGGAAATACTAATTTGCATATTTGCATAATTTATGCACATTAGTGATATATATATATATATATATATATAAGCCTACTATCAAAACATGGATATGAATGAACTACATCATTTGAAAGTATTTTTACAGAAAACTTGAATAAATCCTGTCATTTCTCCTGATTTCAGATGATAATCCAAATTTTTTACCAAAATTCGTCAACAATTTGCATATTCAAAATTTGAATAAATTATTTTAAAAAAAATAAAAGTTTTTTTTATATTTTTTTTACATTTTTATTCTACCCAACTTGTTTTACGACTGTACCAATTTTCAAGTCAATTGGTCCATTATTTGCCGAGATCCGAGGGGGGGGGCAAAAAAGGCCCCCCCCCCCCCCAATGGACTCAAGTGATCAAAATAACCCAATGGGATTAGGGTTAATGAACTTACTCTAATATTGGCCTTTTTTAAACGAATTATATTGCTGTGATTGACATTAATTACTCGTCCCTTTAGAAGGAAAGCCTTTCGTAAAATTAACTATAAAACAGGCATAGTATTCTCCATATTAAAGCCACTCCATATTTCACTAATTTTTTTTTGTCTCTGTAATTAAGATTTATTTTTATTTGGACCATTTGATTTTTGAAATTATTGTTAAATGTAAAATGTATGTGAAATATAAAACAATACAATTAAACTGAAATTGAGATGCTAAACTGTTGTAAAAGACTTACACGGTTGCAGAGAGCATTTGCCAAATTCATGAACGCAGTAGACAATGGGTCTGCAAGATCGTTTTGGAATGTGTTCTCGAAGATGATCTCAAGGACAATTCCAACATCTGTGATTGAATGAAGAAATCATTAAACAATATTAAAGGGAAATCCAACCCAAATAGACAACTACCCTAAACAAAAGCAGAAAAATCAGAAAGCAAACTGATGAAAGTTTCAATTAAAACTGACCAACTATAAGAAAGTTATGATTTTTGAAAGTTGTAATCACTATACGTAAGGGCGCTTCAAATTGACTAAAGCGTTAATGTCAATGTGAGATAGTACCGTACTACTTTCCAATTTGTTCCTACGTATATAATGAATGAATCTTATTTCTTTCAAAAGGTCATGGTTTAGGGGGGTCTAATCTTTTTAGAGGATCTATAACAATATGCTAGCTATAATATATTTTGACTAGTGCCCCAAGACAGAAGGAACTTATGAGAAAAACAGAAGTTAGTGATATTTTTGGTCAATGGTAAATTGAGAGTTATCCACGTCCTACGTCACAATCTAATTACCAAAATAACAAAGCTCTTTGCAGTTGATTTAAATCTTGAATACATTACAATCGACCCACCAAAAATAAAAACACCAAACTGAGATTTGCATAGATTTAGTGATCTCAAATTTTAAACATTCAAAACTTTCTTACTATTGGTCCGATTTATTTCAAACTTGTGCCATTCTGTTTCTGTTATTTTACTGCTTGTTTACGAATACAATTATTACAAGGGTTGGATTGCCCATTAAAAATATGAATAATGATGATTTTAGGGGAAATAATGATAACAATAATAATAATTATAATCACAATCATCAACATCATAATAATTGCCCCCAAACCTTAACTGCAACCTTAACCATAGCCCATCCTTTATTATAAACCTAACCTGAAACCAAATTGTAGCCAAGACCATAACCCCAGACCCAACCGACCAAGCTAGGCGCTTACAGTATCATTACCCCAGTCACTGGATGCAATTACTCTTTCACAAATTATAGTGCACATCGTCCACTCTCTTAGAATCATTTCGGATATAGTCGCCTTTTTACATTGACCTTTACAAACTACCCTTTAGCAACTGGGTGAAAGGGAGCGATGCAGATGTAATACCTTGCTCTGGGCCAAAAATACTGGCCGGGGATTGAACCCATGACCTTCAGACTTCAAGTCAAGTGATTGGACCACTCGACTACAACATCAATACAATCTCCCCCATTAGTCAGTTAGTGCATATTAACTAAGTTCCGGTTCAAGGTCATTTTCATTTCAATAAAAAAAAAAGAGCAGATGCAAATTATTATACATTGAATCAAAGTACCATATTCAATTATAACTGTAATCACCCCTGTTGATTTTACAACTTGTTGTTCCAATAAAAAGACATTCATTTTTTATTGTAATTTTTGGTACGAATCGGTCAAGACACTGGTAATGTGAAATAAATTTACTGAACCTATTCATTTACCAAATTGCGTGGTGGCACTGGATGTTGTTTCTGGCTGCATGGTTGTGGCACTTGATGACACTGGAAAAGAGACACAAAAGGAATACTTGTATTCAACATAATAGAATACTAAATTGTAAATAATCAACACCGGAATTTTGCAATATCATACTCCTCGATTTTTCAATGATTTATGTTCTTGAGTTGCAGCGCGTTGTTGTCCGACATCGAATTTTAAATCCTCCCCCCCCCCTTGAGTTTTTTATGTGTATGATTTTCAGAAGAAAAACAAAACTTTTGATTTTTTTTGTTGTTGTTGAAATACAAAAAAAAAAGTTGATAGGGTCAAATTTTCAAATTTCGGGACCCCCCAATAAAATATGTCCTCTTACCGAGTCATTTTTTCGGACCAAATTTCAAAATGTTAACCCCCCCCCCCCTCCGCTTATTCAGCGGCTGGCTGAGTCATTGCGAAGTTTTTGGGACCAAATTTCAAAATGTTAAACCCCCCCCCCCCCCTTGAAAAAAATCCTGCGTACGCCACTTACGCCACTGATTATATAGCAATATAAAGTAAGACTTAGATATTAAGAATGCTTCATTAAATGGTCCAAATAATTTATATTAATGTATATATGTCCAATTTTCCTTCAAAAGGGATATTTATTTCGCTCACATGCAGATTAAGGGCTGAGACAAAGTTTACACAAAATATATATGATACCAAACATCAACGTTTTACATTACTAGGCTCTCATAAGTGTTTCATCGGCAAGTAAAGAGTTAAAACTCCTTTGATATTACTGCAAGGCACAACAGATCACGAAAGACAAACAATCTAAACGAAACCAAACAAGCACGTATTTCTTTTTTTTCTCATGCAAAAATAGAAAACTGTGTGTAGACAGCTTGTCTGGCCCCTTCTACGATCTCTGTAAATCAATTCAAATTCATTACATCCTTACCAATCCCCCGAATGCAATCATTACTTGAATCATTTGTTGTACTAATTAGTCAAGACACCCGTAATTATGAAATTTGTTTAGTACTAAACCTATTCATTTACCAGGTTGTGAGGTGGCACTAGGTGTTGGTTCTGGCTGCATGGTTATGGCACTTGATGACACTGGAAAAGAAACACAAAAGGGTATACTTATTCTACATAATACAATAGTACATTGTTACATAATCAACATCTGAATTTCGCAATATTGTAATCCACGATGACTTCATTTCTATTACACAGGTAAGCTATGATATTCTGCCTCGCAAAACAGGCCATTATCATATATTTAAATGATGGCTTTCTGTGACAAATAAGCTGTAAACTGCCGTGCGAGAATTAGAGTCTCGTTTTTTTAAATGCTTTTTTCGCAAGTTTCAGCGCATTCTTGTCCGACATCGAATTCTTAGATCGCGATAATTTCGTATTTTTTTCACGAAACATTTCCTAATTACACCAATTTTTAGTAAGAAAATTTGAAGACCATTAGGCAAAGATTGAACTACATAAATGTGTGTAGAAAAAAAAACACATTTCTTAATATGATTTATCTTTGCGAACTTTGGTAACTCCACCATGCTTCATGTACTATGTCTTATATTATAAAATTATGTGTGCAAAAGTAGTAAAGATATTTTACCATTCTAATGAAAACCACACTAAATATCATTATTGTGAAAAAGTGAGTATCTGTTTAGTGCTTTTCATGTTAATTTATCATTTGTTTACAAGTAATAAATGATACCGTTGAGGATAACCAAAAGCAAAGTTTGCAGTTTGCACGACAACAAAATTATATATCACAATATAATAAATCTTAGATATTAAGAACGCTTCATTTATTTCCTAAACGATCTAATTCAATGTATTATTTGTCCAATTTTCCTTCAGCAGGGATATTTGTTTAGTTTACATGTAGATTGAGGCCTGAGACAAAGTTTACAAAACATCAATAATATACATTACTAGGCTCTCATAAATGTAACATCAAGAGTTAAAACTCCTATGATATTCATGCAAGCACATTATATCTTGAGAGACAAAGAATCTAAAATAATTCAAAAAAGCATGGTTTCTTAAATTTATGAATGCAAAAATGGTAAACTGTGTGGAGACAGCTTTTTTGGCCTCTTTTAAAATCTCTGTAAATCAATTCAAATTCATTTCATCCTTACTAATCCCCCGAATGCCATCATTACTTGAATCATTTGTTGTACAAATTAGTCAAGACACCCGTAATTGTGAAATTTGTTTAATACTAAACCTATTCCTTTACCAGGTTGTGAGGTTGCACTGGGTGTTGCTTGTGGCTGCATGGTTATGGCACTTGATGACACTGAAAAACAAACACAAAGGGTATAGTTATTTTACATTATATACACCTATAATTATTCACATGATTTCAAATTCAAATTCTTACATCCTAAATGATGGCAAGAATGCCATCATTACTTGATGTATTATTTGTACTGATCAGTTATACACCACTATATATTCACATGATTTCAAATTCAAATTCATTAAAACCTTAGTGATGGCAAGAATGCCATCATTACCGTGTGGAGACAGCTTGTTTGGCCTCTTCTACAATCTCTGTAAATCAATTCAAATTCATTTCATCCTAACTGATGCCAAGAATACCATCATTACTTGATTTATTTGCGGGACTGATCAGTCAAGGCGCTGATAATTGTGATAGTTGTTTATTAAACCTATTCCTTTAGTTTACTGATCAGTCCTTTACCAAGTTGTGAGGTGGCACCAGGTGTTGTTTCAGGTTGCATGGATGTGGCACTTGATGGAACTGGAAAACAGACAAAGAAGGTATATTTATTTTACATTATACACAACTATATATTCATATGATTTCAAATTCATTACATCCTTACTGATGGCAAGAATGCCATCAATACTTAATATATTATTTGTACTGATCAGTTATACACCACTATATATTCACATGATTTCAAATTAAAATTCACTACATCATTACTGATGGCAATAATGCCATCAATACCTGATTTATTACTTGTACTGCTCAGTTATACACCACTATATATTCACATGATTTCAAATTAAAATTCATTACATCATTACTGATGGCAATAATGCCATCAATACCTGATTTATTATTTGTACTGATCAGTTATACACCACTATATATTCACATGATTTCAAATTCAAATTCATTACATCTTTACTGATGGCAAGAATGCCATCATTACTTGATTTATTTGCGGGACTGATCAGTCAAGGCGCTGATAATTGTGATAGTTTTTTATTAAACCTATTCCTTTAGTTTACTGATCAGTCCTTTACCAAGTTGTGAGGTGGCACCAGGTGTTGTTTCAGGTTGCATGGATGTGGCACTTGATGGAACTGGAAAACAGACAAAGAAGGTATAGTTATTTTACATTATACCACCATATATTCACATGGTTTCAAATTCATATTCATTAAAACCTTTACTGATGGCAAGAATGCCATCATTACTTGATTTATTTGCGGGACTGATCAGTCAAGGCGCTGATAATTGTGATAGTTTTTTATTAAACCTATTCCTTTAGTTTACTGATCAGTCCTTTACCAAGTTGTGAGGTGGCACCAGGTGTTGTTTCAGGTTGCATGGATGTGGCACTTGATGGAACTGGAAAACAGACAAAGAAGGTATAGTTATTTTACATTATACACAACTATATATTCATATGATTTCAAATTCATTACATCCTTACTGATGGCAAGAATGCCATCAATACTTAATTTATTATTTGTACTGAACAGTTATACACCACTATATATTCACATGATTTCAAATTAAAATTCATTACATCATTACTGATGGCAATAATGCCATCAATACCTGATTTATTATTTGTACTGATCAGTTATACACCACTATATATTCACATGATTTCAAATTCAAATTCATTACATCTTTACTGATGGCAAGAATGCCATCATTACTTGATTTATTATATGTACTGATCAGTCATTTACCAAATTGTGAGGTGGCACCAGGTGTTGTTTCAGGCTGCATGGATGTGGCACTTGGTGAAACTGGAAAACAGACAAAGAAGGTATAGTTATTCTACAGTATATACCACCATATATTCACATGGTTTCAAATTCATATTCATTAAAACCTTTACTGACGGCAAGAATGCCATCATTACTTGATTCATTTTTTGTACTAATCATTTAAGACACTGGTTATTGTGAAATGTGTTTACTAAACTTATTCTTTTACCAAGCTGTGAGGTGGCACTAGGTGTTGTTTCTGGCTGCATGGTTGTGGCACCTGATGTCACTGGAAAAGAGACCCCCAAAATATAATTATTCTACATAATACAAAACTATTTATTCACATCATTTACATCTGAATTATACAGTATCGTTTTCCACGATAAATACATTTTATTACACAATTGTAAGTTAGCTTTTGAAGCAACATTGTCCTGTAAGGACAAAGCTCTTTGCAGTTGATTGTAAATCTTGAATACATCACAATCCACCGACCAAATGGCCAATTTGAGGTTTGCATAGACTTAGTGATCTCATATTTCAAACATTCATAATTTTCTCAATATCTCTCCAATACTTTTCACACAAATGGGGTAAAGTCCCATTGTCAAATCGCCCTCTTACTCTTGCCGTGCCAAGTTTTTTTACTTAAACTTGAACAATCCTTCTAATTCTTAATCAAACACCTGTAAGTGGTGTGGCCAAAGTTCACAAATCTTGAGAGACAACAAATTTAACAAAATCTTTAAAAATATTATCTTTCTTTATTTTCTGAATGCAGAAATGATAGTCTGTGTGGAAACAACTTTGTTGAACCCCTCTACAATCTCTGTAAATCAATTCAAATTCTTTACATCCCTACCGACATTGCTAATTTAGGAAATTAAATGATTACTTTTAATTAAATTGCTCTTTTTCATGAACGACAACATGAACAGAATTGGATCTAAATTCCCAGTATCTCCAAAAGGTGACTCTGATTTGAAATTGCATCCTTACCATTGCACGTAATACCATCAGTGCTTAATTCATATCCAGGGGTACATGAACAGTTGTAAGAGCCCATTGAGTTCGTACACACTCCATTTTCAGAATCACAGACAGATGGACTTGCAGAGCATTCATTAATATCTAGGAAAAGCAAACATTTTTTTCCTTCACCAACAACAGTTAAGAGTTTTATAAAGATCTACATAAATCAGCTTTTCTGTTTAAATTGGCAACATTTACTTTTATCTAAATAATAATAAATAATAATAATTAGATTTATATAGCGCCTTTTCCAAAGGTTACAAGGCGCTGCTCTCCTAGACTTTCGACAATTTAAGAGGAGTTGTACAGGTAAGTTTTCAGATGTTTTTTGGAAGAAATCTAGTGAAGTACTGTTTCTTAAGAAAAAGGGGAGTTTGTTCCAGAGACGTGGGGCTAAGGACTGAAAGGATTTGAAACCCAGCCTGTTTACGGGATTTGGGAATGACAAAGGTAGGAGCTGATGAAGACCTAAGGGAATAGGATGTTCTCTGTTGCTGAAAGAGTGAGGAAATGTATACAGGAAGGGTGGTCGACATAGATTTGAAAGAAATAGTTTTAAAAAAAAAGTTAAATGAAATTTTGTGAAATTTGTTAACGAAAAATCAACAAGAAATTGCAGATTTGTTCACGAAAATAGTGCTAATAAGTTTCACTCTGCTTTACTAATTTAGAGAGAGTGTAATGATTGGTTTTAATCAAATCGGTCTTTATTATAAATGCACAACGTAACAGAAGCGAATCAAATGTTCCGGCTTCTCCTAAAGGTGACATTAATGTAATATTACATCCTTACCTTTTCACGCAAAACCGTCAGTGTTCATTTCATATCCAGATTTTGAATATGCGATGAAAAGGTGACACTAATTTTATATTAAATCCTTACCACTGCAAGTAATGTTGTCATTGCTTATTTCATATCCAGAGTTACATGAACAGTTGAAAGAGCCGATCAGGTTCATACACATTCCATTTCCACAGGCCGATGAATTCCTGGAGCATTCGTCAATATCTAAGAGAAGTAAACATTCTTGTTTTGAATTTGGCAATCTGACATTTGCGTGTTGTGATTTCAAGATCACAAAGACTTTTACAAAATCACCCCAAGATGATTTCAATAGCTTTGATCATCACTAGCTCTTGCAACGTGCGACCTTTACAATGAGTTATATATTTAAAGGTAAAGACCAGTAATGGTCATGCGATTGCATTGTGAAAGAAACGTTGTGGAATCGATCAGAAAAGGTTGATCATCTAGCATCTAGCATCTGCAAGGTTCTGGAATCATCAAAATGATAAGAAATTTGGCCCATTCTTCGTAAAGTTACAAGCACTATACACAGAAAGATGTATATGGGACTACCCTATCTCTCTCACACGACCATGAGAGAGATAAATTTACCAAATATATGAATTAGTAGGCGGTTTCCCGGCAAATTTTTTATCATCATGTATTAGTCAAAACATATTCTTTCACATGATTGGTAATGAGAGCTTCCATTTCATTTTTTGAAATTGGGGCGTTACCAATACTGGTCTTTACCTTTAAGAGTGTATTTCAACTTGGGAAATCTCTTAACAAAAGTAATAATGGTGAATATATTATGACCATAATACTGATACTTTTAAAACACAGAAAATTTCATTTTTAGTAATGGAGCATGTTAACACTTTTACAGTAAATTTTTGCTTGATCGAACCTACCCGTGCAATTCAACCCGCCTTCGTCAAACTCGTATCCATCCCAGCACGCACATGAGTATCCACCCTCCTCGTTCGAACATATTTGCTGGCAGTCATCCGCCCCCTGCAGACATTCGTTTATATCTGTTCATCAAAACACAAAGTATAACAAAGGCATTTGCAAAAATTGTTATAGATTTAAAAAGAAGATTGATTTTTGATAAAGATTCAAATTAATTTGTGAGTTTCTTATTATTTAGTTGGAAGAATATCATTGAAGAAATATCCATTGACAAGGATTGATCTTCTGATGCCTTCATTTTATTACCATATGACAAGAAAAAGCTTAGAATGTTTGGACCAAACTTTCGTTCTGGACCACATTTCATAACAAATACATATAAATAAATGCTAAATTTCTATGACAATTTTGCTCTCAACCAATAAAATAGCATGATTTAAATAGATTTTAACAACTATTTGTAACTTGCTCTTGATAATTAATTTCATGAAACGGGGCTCTGCTTGGACACGTGCATGATTTGTGTTGGACCTTTAGCTAGATTTTAGTCGATTATTCATCATTTTGATTCTGAAACATTAAAGTATACATCAATTTCCCATGCTTTTCTCATGTGCTGTGCTTATCTTTTACTCAGTCCTCATAATAAAGCTAATGTACACTATATATATATATTTATAAATAATACTAATACTAAAACTAATTACCCAACTAAAATAAACTAAATTAAATAGTTACATACTAAAATATAACTTGTATACCATCACGAACATCATAACATATAGGTACACAAACACTATTAGAAGAACATACTATCAAAATGTAGGTATTCAACTAGACATTTGGGGAGTTGGGTAAAATCATATAATTGTACTTTGGATTTAAAGAAACACTGAAATAATAAAATGCAGCTTTACAAACAGGAACTAATTGGGAAAAATATAATCTGTAATCAATTAATTGGTTGATATAATACTACATATATATTTACATTATTCTATTATTAAAAATTATCATACAAAAGTGTTAGCAAAAAAACTTTAGTTCTTTAACCCTATTTTAACTGGGCTATTTCAGACCAGGTTTTTACTGGGGGGGGGGGGTCAATTTGACCCCCCCCTAAGATCTCGGCCGTTTCACCGCCGATCGCCGCGAAAATTTGCATATACGTCAAGTGAAGTGTAAAGAATACTATGGTAATTTCAAATTTTTTAAAAATTCACTCATTTGCATATTTATGGTAATTTATGCAAATAAGGTCATCAAATTCATATTTCTGCCCATAAATCATAGATTATTCATGTTTACATATTCTTTTTCACTACATATATTTATTAGACCATTTGGAATAATAATACGACACAAAAAATTGGAAGAGCCAGGTTATTCCTTATGTTATCTCTTGTTTTTATAATTTCTTATGTATTTTATTGTTTTTTTAACTTATGTATTTTATTGTTTTTGTTGTTTTATTTCATTTATAACTACAATTCAACTATTTTGACCCCAAAACAAACATCTAAACTTCAAACAAGACTGAATAACCAATGTTTTATCTATTTTTAGGAAAAATGACTTTTACATATGTTTTGTACACAAATCACGAAAATGAGCGATTTTCGGGGTGACATGCAAAGACAAAAGGTCACGTGACCTTGTAACCGTAGGTCCGATTTTCATAAAAATCGTTTTAAAAGATGCGTAAGACTTGAAAGTAAAAAGTCATGAAAGGAAAATTTTATATCTGCCGCGGTTTCGGAGTAGTCGCGAAATTTCTACAGGGGGGGGTCAAATTGACCCCCCCCCCCAGTTAACATAGGGTTAAGCGAAGCCAATAAGTAAAAATGCAAATTCAAATAGCATGGGAAACAAGGGATGTATAATTGAGTAATCATGACAAGCAAGATGCAAGATGCAAGATAAGAGATAAAGGATTTCATTTTTAAGGGCTTCAATTGAAGGAAATTAATTCTCATTATACCTCCAGTAATAATTATAAAAAAATGTTCTACCTTCGCAAGAATCTGTTCCAGTTCCTAGGAAGCCTTCGTTACACGTGCAGTAGAAACTCCCGTAGGTGTTCATACAATTCCCATTACGGCAAGCATCGGAAAACACTAAGCACTCGTTGACGTCTACAACATCCGTGTGAGATGAAAAAAGTATCAAGAATATACATTATAATAATATGGTTTTCTCTACCGTTTGTAAGTACATTTCTAAGTACCGGTAGTATTGGCAATTACAGTGTTCAAATGTATAAACGGGATAAGAACTACTTTTAAAAATTCAATCTACCGTATTACAATAAATGCAATTTCAAAAGCCTGTTTGTCAACTATTTAAACATGATAATGTTGTATTACAAATCCGAACATGATTTCTGAGGGACATACAATTGGGTTCTGAAATCGCTTTTACTCGGCAAAGATGTGATGGTCTTGCATCTTAGAGTTGCGGGGGATAACATTGACCAATCAAAACGAGTTTCATATGGTTGGAAAGATAAAATTCCTTAGAAAAATGACCTTAAACCAAAAATTAGGAGAGGGCGGTATGCCATATTGTGACATGTTAATAAAGCTCTGTTGCCAGACCCGTTGATTTTTTTACACAGAAAACGAGCCGAAAATGGTTATACATACATACTCTCACAAAGTTTTGCTATGATCGATACTTTGCTTCGTTCTTAAGTTTAATACCGGTACCGCATTCACAAGAATAATTATGGACGGACGGACAACCCAAACATAATGTCTCTGGTGCTCACTATGTGTGGCGGAGGCATAATAACATATCTCACCTGCTTCAACGATCCGGTTATTCAAACCAAATACTCGGTTAGGCGGAAGGGAGTCAGTGAACACAGACACTAAGAAAGTAGCGTTCAGTTCAGAGTTGAACGAGTCGATCCGGAACTCTACGAAAGCGTTGCCACCGACAACGGTATTATTAGTCACAATAACATCTGCGAGGTTCCCATCTCCTATAACAGATGTACTGTTAAGCTGGTCAAACACCTGTAATGGGTCAAGTATTTCGAGTCCAGACATATTCTAAGGGTTTCTTCTTGAACAAGTTTAATTTAAACCACCAAGTTCATAACTTTAATACTCATAGAAATTTCACAGAAGGAAATAAACATCCAGTCATCCAAAAAAATAAAAAATAATTTTGCCATTTTTGAAGTGTTTGTATGGAATTCTTTGTCCTCCTCGTTAAAAGAAATCTCATTTCTAAATTATTTAAAAAGAAAGCTTAAATTATACCTGTTATTTTCTTTTCAATAGGTTAACATTATTTCATAGGTTGGTTTAATTCATTTTTTTAATTAAAAACCATTATCAATTTAATAAAGATTACTAGGCCATATTTTTTCATAAAACTTGTTATCAATAATAATTAACTTACAATAATTCTTATAATTATAAGCTACTGAAGTCATGGTATTTGATTGCATGAAAGCAAATTTGTCAAAGAAATTTCACATTTGGCATTTATCATTGTTTAAAAAAAGAAACGAAGGAAGGTGTGTAGAAAATATCCTTTAATATGACAGGATAAAGATTGGCGTTGGTCTAGTGGTATATTCACTTGGTCAGCTCTCATTTTTTCACCTAAAATCTGGTTCAAAACTGAGTCACGTCTTCCAGCTGGTGACGTTAAAAGTTGGTCTCCAGACGAAAAAAATCATATCTGATTTATTTGCGTCCGCAAAAATCCTAATACAAACACACTAACATTGCTTGGCGCCTGCAACAAGTTTAGCAATTGGGTAGATGCCAAGAACTACTATGTGATAATGTGTCTTACCTGTTCGGCTAGTCGGTTCCGGTTTTGTTCAGTGTCTGTATAATGCTGGATTGCTATGTCGTTGATGAAGTCAAACCTCAGTTCCAGAGTGTAGGAGTAAGCAGCTATCAGTAAAAAGTTATATGAAATACATTTTAAAGCAGTCAGCTCACCCTCATTAGTTGATATCAAATCGAAAGCATTATTGGAAATACACAAGAAATATCAAATGAAAGCTGAATGAATTTAAGATAGATTAGCAAAACGTTGTGGTGCGAAAAGCTGCAACTTGTTGAACTAAGAACGGGGTAGTCAAATGAATGAGCGCACTTCATGCACGCAGGTTATACCCCTGAGGGACCTGAAGCTCGGAGTCCAAAAGACGGAAAGTTTTTTTTTTTACAGGAATCTCGCGATCTACGTTTTTCTATTCTCCACCTCATGCACACACACTAATGCTACTCTACGGCTATATTCCTTTTTGTAACGTGTCAAACGTTCTTTAGACATGGTACTATAATATTACGAAGCATGGCCGGGAGATATTTTGGAAAGGACGGCAATTTACAGGTGCTCTAACATTTTTTCCATCAGGAATGTGTTTCTTTGATACCCGCCTCCCGATTAAATGGTGAGATTTAAATTTCTATGCAGACAATAAACACACTTGACAGGAAGTTGACTCACTAACAAAATCTATGATAAATAAGCACTGACATTGTATCACTCCTTGATTTTTTGTTTAACTCCTGGAATCTGACCTATGTTTCTAGCCTTTTTTTGTTTGCATGAATTCAATTACATGGTTAATATATAAAAGTTTTTTTTTTAAATATGTGTAAACTGAGCCAGAATCTAAATATTTGTACCTAAATAAATGGGAAAATATTGTACTATATCAAAGCTTACATTCGCATGATCCGTCGACAAGGGCATAACTCGTATTACAGATGCAGGTGTGGTTCCCCACAGTGTTCATGCACACACGATTCAAACTTCTGTTGCACATGTGGTTGCTAGTTGCACACTCATCGATATCTAATGGGGACAAATCAAATGTTACATTTATTCAAAAACATTTATTTAGCCTGAAGATCAGTTGCCGCACTGTTTCGAATCTTGGTCTTGTAGTTAAACGACATGATCGTATCAATACCAGATTAAAAAACAAATGTGAATTATATACAAAATAATAATCAAGGGATGAAAATTTAATAAATAAAACACGACTAAAATAGTCAAAGCTATGTAGATAATGCTGGTATGATTATCAGATAGGGAACAGCAAATAGCCTAACTACTACAAAGCAACATGTAGGCTAACCCCTATAATCATTCACTTTATTAACTCGTCTCATTATATCAACAGGTGTTATTATTGTTGTAGTTAGAAAACAAGCGTTTATCCCCCTTTTTTATATTTTCATTATAACAGCAAGTCACTCTCTACCTTTTATATCTAATTTTTAGTTTAACTGAAGGCTGCGAGCTCATCAAGATTCATGCTCATGCTGTAGCCCTGCAATAGCATGTTCATCTTGTTCATATATGAATTAAGCGTGTAATTTAATTTCATTCCTTTTCTAAACAATGTCATGTATTACATTGTATGTAAATGAATCAAATGTAAATGTAATATTAACCCTATATAGTCCGGGCTATTTTGAAACTGCATAGCCCGGGGGGGGGGGGGGGGGGGGGGGGGGGGCTTCTAAGGCCCCCCCCCCCCCATGATCTCGGCCGTGAAACGACCTATGGCCGCAAAAATTTGCATGCATGTCAAGTGAAGTGTATAGAATACTATGGTAATTTCAATTTTTTCGAAAATTCACTCATTTTGCATATTTATGGTAATTTATTCAATTATGGTAATAACATTCACACATTTATCCATAAATCATATATTCTTCATATTTAAACATTAATTTTCACTACATATATTATTTAGACCATTTGGGATAATAATACAGCAAAAAAACATGGAAGAGCCAGGTTATTCCTTATGTTATCTATTGTTTTGATAATTTCTTATGTATTTCTTTGTTTTTTTAACTTATGTATTTCATTGTTTTTGTTGTTTTATTTCATTTCCAGCTATTATTCAACTATTTTGACCCCAAAATAAACACCTTAACTATAAACAAGACCAAATAACCAATGTTTTATCTCTTTATTTGAAAAATTAGATTTCCATATGTTTTGTACACAAATCACAAAAATGAGCGATTTTTTTGGGCTGACATGCAAAGACAAAAGGACACGTGACTTTGTAATGGTAGGTCCGATTTTCAAAAAAAAATTGATGCGCAAGACTCGAAAGAAAAAAGTCACAAAATTTTAGTGCAAGATTCTCATGCGTTAAAAAATTATCGCAAAAAATATTGGGCTAGATAGGGTTAATGCACATGAATTTGTTTGTTTGAAAACATGCTATCGCGGGGCTACAGCATGAGCATCTTGCCATATATAAATCAAGCATATATTTTAATTGCTTTCCTTTTCTACACAATGTTATGTATTGCATTGTATCAATTGTATCAAATGTAAATGAATCAAATGTAAATGTAATATTAATGCACATGAATTTGTTTGTTTGAAAAGATGATATAAAAATCAATAACTTAATCATCAATTATCTTCAATCGATATGAAAATTCATATTTTTTTTTATACAGAACAGGAAACCAATTCTACTCCTACTACTACTACTTCTAATTATAATCAATGTTGCCAAACCCTCATGACCATAGCATGTTGAAAGATAAAGTTGTGACGAACGCACGCTACTCAAGGACCATATGCGTGCAGGCGTGTCACAACTATCTCTTTCAATACGCTATGTTCATGATATGTAATGGTATAGTATTATTTTACCGGCGCATGACTTTGTTTCGTTGACTGTATTATATCCATCCATGCAGTCACAAAAGTAGTCCCCATCTGTATTTATACATGTTGAAACTTCAGGGCAGTCATTCTGAACTCCTTCCGAACATTCATCAAAATCTGCATAAACATAAAAATATTTATAGGTTTATGGGTTCCACCATGTGAGAGAGAGGGGGAGGATTGGGGAGTCTTGAAAAGGATTGTCTGTAATCTTTCTTTCTTGACTGTATATCTACATCACTATGCATGCAAATACTTGTAAGCAGCATCTAATACAAATATATGTTTCTTTTTACAATATCTAACTCCAGGCATATTGTAATAATAACAGTGATAGTAAAGTCTTGTATAGTGTTCATGTCCGGCACTTTGCCACTCCTGGCGCTCAAATGTTATTACCTCGGGTTTAGCATGGATACCATTACAGCGCTTGAGCATTATGAAGAATTACAGGATGATGAAGCGGATCCTAATCAAGTGATTGGTTAAGGGCGTACACATGTTTTTGCCTGACATATAATTTTACTAATGACCGGTCATCAGTAAAATCATGTTATAAAATATCATCTTATAAAACAAATAATACACATCTCTTTGTTCGGACATTAATAAAATTACCCACACTCGTAGTATTTGAAGGTTATAGTACAGTTATATTTTAAAAATATATGGTTTTTAGATACATGTCCTACTTCAGATACTTTGCATCAGTTTTGCATGAATAAGGATTGGCTAAAGGTATTTTGCTTTGAAGTATTAAGATGTGATTTCAATACCTTATTGTATGTCCCTTTATAGAAATCATGTTTGGAATATATGTTGGTTGCTATCGTGTTTGTAACTTATGGTTTTATAACATGTGGATGATGAAGCAGGTATTTGCATGTATGTGATATATATATATATATATAATATTACAATGTATATAACTTATGTATAAACATGTACTTCAAGAAATCTCACCTGAACAGGTTCCATTATCAAACTCGTAACCAGGGTCACAAGTACAATTGGGAGAACCAGTGTTGTCCATTGCAGTAGGTGTACAACCTGCGTTGTCTGTTAAAAAAATAAAAATAAAATAAATACAATATATGTTATAACAACGCTAACAAATTAGTTTCATCAGGATTTTGAAGAGGCATACATATGCTTCAAAAAGATAAGAAGACTTATGACAACTTTTATCACTTAATTTCATTCTGATTTTCGCGGATAGATCATTAACAATTTCCTGTGAATTCGAAAAAGTGTATACATCATGCACATGAACATCAGTTAATGTTTGACATGCCTATGATAATGTTTCTTGAGAATGTTACATATTAAAGCTTTCATCTATTAAAACTAAAAGTATTCAACAATGGCCCTAACTCAACTAGTCCACCTTCCTTACTTGAGTTACGAATAAAATATTATAAACATCAAATATACAAGGGGTATGAATAATATAGTTCTTATATAAGATAAGAAGTGATACTGTGTACTTAGTACCTGTTGTACCCCCGTCTTGCAAGTTTTGAAGAACGCTGGATTTAAAAAAAATTGTCATTTTTTGACAAATGCTTTAAGCTAAAAATTTATATATTTTGTATACGTATCTCCTATGGTTGTTTTATTGTTTCTTCTTCTTTTGTCTATTTTTCATCAACCGCTAAACAACTATATTTACTTGTATAATTATGGTTTGCTCGGAACAGGGCCCAATTTCATAAAACTTGTTATCAATGACATGTTACAATAGCTGTAATATAAGCTACTGAAATTAGTGCGATTGATCGACTGAGAGCAAATACACCATAGAAATTTTGCATTTGTTATTGATAATAAATGTTAATGAATCAGGGCCCTGAAGGAGCCCTGGTTTCTAGGCCCCTCCTGCATTCATACCTATACACGAATGTGTATCCAGAGAAAGAGTAAATCCATCGTCGCAAGAACAGTAGTATCCATAGAGGATGTTGTGGCAGGTCTGATCACAGTCGTTGGTTGTGTTGCTTTGGCATTCGTTGACATCTTAAAAATCCGAAGGAGAAATCGTGATAAGGATGAAAATAAACTGTTCTTGAGTAGCGCCTATCCTATTGATATTGAAATACCATCCCTATGTGCTTCCAAAGAAGTTTGGATGGTGGCTTTAGCACTGGCAGCCGTAATGACAATTAGTACTCCTGAGAGGTACCCATTTAACAATTGGGTTGAGAGATGCAAATGTGGACTAATGAAATACATGTGTTTGCTAATATTTAGTTTTTACCAATAAAAATATCTAAGTTTACACATCTTATAAAGTAAAATGAAAGCTTACAGAGGTCCAGTCACTAGCTATCATATTCTTCTGTTTCGTCTACTTCTTCTTCCACTACCGTTTCCTCCTCCTCCTCCTCCTCTTCTTCTTCTTTCTCTTCAGTTTCCTCCTCTTTTTTTCTTTTCTTATTCCTCTTCATCTTCCTCTATCTCCCTCTTCTCTGATTTTGTTTCAGGCATATGTTCTAATTATTATTATTTATTTTTTTTGGTTGGGGAGGGAGTAATTTTTGTTTTAATTGGTTCACCGTATCAAAATTATTATCAAAGCTATAGTGATTTGGTACCGCTTACCATAGCATGTTTCTCCGTTACCCTGCAGGCCTGGCGGGCAGTCACCACACTGAAATTCAGGCGTCACCCCAGCGGGTTTGTCCATACATAGTACCGCCTCGTAGCATGGAGACCCTGCGCAGGCGTCAAATTCTACATCACAATGGTCACCTGACCACCCAACGGTACAATTGCACGTAACAACCTGAATGTTTAACAAATATAAATAAGTGTATACGTTCCTACATTATTTAGTCCTCAAACTTGTATGTTTCATGTGTAACAAATGATTTGTTACTTCTGTTTTTTAGTAGATTAATGAAACATTAAGCATTATCTGAGCTGCAGAGAACCAATTTGATTGGTGTCTTCGGGACTCTCCTTCCAAGAACTTACAAGGATCAAAAATTTGTTGATACCTGAAATGGCTGTTGTTAATATTTACAATTGCATGTGACAACCTTAAAGGTAAAGACCAGTTTTGGAAAATGCCTCCCTCTCAAAATATGAAATGAAAGCCCTTATTACCAATCATGTGAAAGAATATGTTTTGACTAATACATGATGACAACAATTTTGCCGGGAAAACCGCCTAATAATTGATATATTTGGTACATTAGTTTATCTATTGGGACCAAATAGATAATACACACGTGTTGCGCACGTGTGCGTAGTCCCATATACATCTTTTTGTGTACAGTGCTTGTAACTTTACAAAAACTGGGCCAAATTTCTTATCATTTTGATGATTCCAGAACCTTGCAGTACACACCAATACTTATATGCTAGATGATCAACCTTTTCTGATCTATTCCACAATGTTTCTTTCACAATGCAATCGCATGACCAGAACTGGTCTTATCTTTAAAAATTAACATAATCTGGACGACAAGCTAATATGACGTTAGCACTTTGGTTTTAAGTGTATGCAAATACCAATCAACTCACCGCGTATCCATTAGCGTTGAGATTCTGGCCTACGGCTTGGGTCTGGAAGTCACATACGCCCTCGTTCATGCATTCGCAGATCTTGACCTTAAAGGAGACCACTGTTTGCGCACCTCGGTCATCGCTGACCATGACCTCAATCCTTGATACATTGAGACTCGATGGTGTCCACTCGAAAGAGCCATCTGAAAGATAAGACAAGATGGTTGTTAATTACAGCCATACTGTAAGATCCCCTCTGGCGCCATCTCAGGTCAGCTGTAGCAGTATGGTCCTGTAATTCGCTGCTTCCCTGTTAATTATTACTATCATTATTAAGTATCTGGTGTTACCTGTACCTTGAAGGCGAACAGCATACTGGATAACTGTAATCCTCTGGTCTCTCCTCCTGGTATAACTGATTGGGGATGTGCAGGTGGGCCAGCTAGTTCACTGGTATACAAAATGTGCAGTGGGTTCCTCTATGAAACAGGGGAGGGGCATGCTAATTAACTCACAACACAGGCTTCATTCACCCGCCTGGGTTTGATTTGAAGCAACGATCTTTGGTTTGACAGGCAGATGCTTTACCGACTGAGCCAACTCGCTTCCTCTAATTGGTTCTCGCATCGAGACCTCTGCTTGCGAAGTGGGAATTTAACATTGGGTTACGCACTGTCGGCAAGTTGACCATGAAATGGTACTGTGCAATAAACAGTATGCTAGGGCAATATTTTTTTTAGTTCAGTATTTCTTCAAAGGGCGACCCAAGCTTTGTAATAAGTTCATAAAACAGAAAATAATAGAAACAGAAATGAGTGCAATAAATCTGACTAATAATAAGCTGATAAGAAAGTTTAAAACGTTAGAAATTTGAGATTACTATGAAATCTGTGAATCTCAAAGTGGCAAAATGGTCAGTGGATTAATTGTAACATAGCTATAGAGAACTCTCCCGTATATGGTGTACAAAAATAAAATAATTATTTCTCTTAAGTTACTTATCCTTACAATTATTCAAAATATTTTGTATTTACCAGAACTGATAGTTGCACCATCTGGAACAGAGTCAGCTAAAGTAAAATTGACCATATCTCCGTCATTAGGATCTTCAGCCGTAAACATCAGCTGAACAGTTTCGTTAACTGTGACACATAGTACTTTCTCTTTTTCCTGAAGAACATTGTTGGTATCAGTGATCATAGTTACGTTCGGTGGGAAATTTTCTGAATTAGGAAGATAACAAAAGAAGTGGACACTTTAATTTTTTATTAACTCCACCACCACGATCTCCCCCAAATTTGCTGCAAGCCAAAGGCATGTTCCCAAAATGTTTATATGGAATGTGGTGTGAAACCGTCCAATAGAAAGGACACAATGGGCATATGAAAGGTTGGGTTTGGAAGATACAGTGGTAGAAGTGGTAAAGAGAAGTGGATTAATGAGATGGATGGGTCATGTGTTGAAAAGAAATGATGATGAACCTGTGAAAAGAGCATGGGATCTGAAAGTGGATGGAAAGGTAAACCGAAGATATCACGGACAGATGCGGTGAAGAAAGAAAACAGTACTAAAGGTTGGTCTAAATGAGGAGGATGCTTGAGACAAGAAGTGGAGGGAAGGAGTGTCATCATGGCGCCAAAATCAGTTAATCCTTTGTAAGAGAGAACATGTCGATTTCAATAAATGATGATGATGATGAACCCTACACGTTATGTCAGGTGCCAACGAGGCATGAATTTTCAGATGTAGGACTATAGCCTACTATGAAAATTATATCATCGTGCAACAAATTATACAGAAATCATCTACTTATAGAAAGGCTTTTAAACATCCTGCTGCTCACAGATCTATGCTTATCATGCTAACCAAGACTTCAGCTCAATATTTATTGTATTCAATACCTTCTTGGCCTAGACTGATTCAATGGATATTACCAAATCTTAGAAGCTTGATCACATATGCTGTTGTAAACATGGCAGTTTACCGCGTTTGAAGGTTTTTGTTTTGTAATTTTAAGCGCATACTGCATTGTATTTGCATATTTCATTGTACAACATACAGAAACTCATTGGACATTTGTTTTGTGAATCTACAAATTAATTTATTCCCATTTGCAATTCATCATTTAGTACGTAAAAATAAAACCCGCCTTGGGATAAGCTGCTGCGGTTTACTGCACCAAACTTATGTAAATGAGACGAAATGAAAGGCAAAGCTTGAATCGATACCTAGGTTGGCAAGGTTGTCATCAAATGTATTCCCGGCCTCCATAGTCATTGCTCCCAATTCTGGGCTTACGGCAAGGTAGTCAAACAAGCACATTTCATCGTCACCACATGCCTCCTCTGCAGCACGTGTCCGCTCGGGGTCTTGTGCCTTAAGATCACTCAGGAAAATCGGTGTGTAGTTTGCGGGGTTGTAATAGGTCCAGTTCCTCTCGCCGTACTCGAACAGGGACTCGGCCTCTCTGACTTGCCCTGGGGATTGCAATGAAGAAATAAGAGGATTTGGGATAAGGTCATTAAATGCTATTTTGGCGATAGTTTGAGAGGTGATCATTGACCAATTGTAGTAGGACCCATGAGGATAATTTGACAACAGGGAAAAAGGTGAAAATCATATAAATGAGTAAAAACAAGTATGGTTAGGACAACAGGGATTAATCCTCGTTTATTTGTTCTGAGGTTTGCAAAAAGAAATAATAAGAGTCCATTTTTTTTAGGAAAGACAGATTTTCAACTCCTGTTTTAGTAATGACGTAACCACATGCATAATTATAAAAATGAAAAAAAATTATCCTCGGTTATTTACCCTGGAGTTCCTATTAACTATATATGGAATAATTCAAGTGAATACGTGAAGGACGTTTGTTGCGCTGTTTCCAATTTTACATGTTAAAGGTAAAGACCAGTATTGGAAACGCCCAAATTTCAAAAAATGAAATGGAAGCTCTTATTGCCAATCATGCCTGTGAAAGAATATGTTTTGAATAATACATGATGATAAAAAAATTCCCGGGAAACCGCCTAATAATTGATATACTTGGTAAAGTAGTTTATCTATCATCATGTGAGAGAGAAAAACGCACGTGTCGTGCATGTGGGCGTAGTCCCATATACATCTTTCTGTGTACAGTGCTTGTAACTTTATGAAGACTGGGCCAAATTTCTTGTCATTTTGATGAATCCAGAACCTTGCAGTACATCTATGCTAGATTATCAACTTTTTCTGATCGATTCCCTAACGTTTCTTTCACAATGCAATCGCATGACCATAACTGGTCTTTATCTTTAACAAAATTCCTGCGGTTAACCGCTACATATCTGCACGAGGCTTAACCCTATGTTAACTCGTGGGGGGGGGGGCTCAATTTGACCCTCCTGTAGTAATTTAGCGACTACTCCGGAACCACGGCAGATATAAAGTTTTCCTTTCGAGTCTTACGCATCTTTTCAAACAATTTTTTTGAATAGTAACAAAGTCACGTGACCTTTTGTCTTTGCATGTCAGCCTCAAAATCGCTGATTTTTGTGATTTGTGTACAAAACATATGGAAGTATCATTTTTCCTAAAAAGAGATAAAACATTGGTTATTTGGTCTTGTTTAAAGATTAGGTGTTGGTTTTGGGGTCAAAATAGTTGAATTGTAGTAAGAAATGAAATAAAAACAACAAAAACAATAAAATACATAGATTACAAAACAGTGAAATACATAAGAAATTATCATAACAACAGATAACATGGAGAATTACCTGGCTCTTCAAAAAAAAATTGTTGTATTATTATTCCAAATGGTCTAACAAATATGTGTAGTGAAGAAGAATGCTAAAATATGAAAAATATATGATTCATGGGGAAAAATGTATGACCGTATTTGCATAAAATACCATATATTAGCAAATGAGTGAATGTTTCAAAAGCTTGAAATTCCCATAGTATTCTATACACTTCACTTGACATGCATGCACATTTTTTGCGGCGATCGGCTGTGAAACGGCTGAGATCTTTGGGGAGGGGTCAAATTGACCCCCCCCCCCCAGTAAAAACCTGGTCTGAAATAGCCCAGTCAAAATAGGGTTAAGTCTGAGAATTTTCAATCGTAACGCAGTAAAGATCAACTTACATGACTGTCCGAAGTCAAATATCTCCTTGTCCGTGAGGTTTGTGGCTAGCGAATCCTCAAGAGTGGTGCCATCTCGGAGCAAGAAATCATCTGAACTATCGCCATTCATATTGCCTGGAGAAATGAAATGAAATAAATGAAATTGACAATTTTCTTAATATTTAATAAAAAATTGAATGCTTTCGTCTTTGTCTTTTGCCTCTTTTTATAATTATTTCACTCACCTGTTACTGGAATGTATCGCCCGTGTGATGATAACATTTTACATGTGCCCAAAAGACCTTGGACATTAGGAGTGACCTCGTTCTTAACTTTAATATGCTTTGCGCAACATTGGTTTGAGATCCAGCATTAGATAAAGTTAGATAAACATGATTGCAAAACACCTGAGGCAACTTCAATAGCCAGGTGCATCCCCATCACCTGTTCATTGAAATATGCGAACAGTTCCTTCATTTATCACATGACCAGGCACTTATTCACCTGGCCATAATAGAATATTTCTCTCTACGAAAATTCAAAAATTGTAGAGGCTGTTGGCCATCCAAAAACTGTCTAGAATTCTAGAATTTCAGTCGACTTGTTATGCATGTCTACAAATTGTTCCCCTCCCGCTACACCCGATTTAAAATGGTTTGGCGACAGCTCTGTGTAAACGCTCTAGTTTTTAGAGTGTAAAAACTGACTACTTACCTAGAAGACCTCTGCCAGGTCCATCTTCAACGTATTCCGGCGGTGCTTCGATGGTCACGAGCAGAATCCCGTTAGAAAAGGTCACGGTGAAAGACGTAGCGGGCGTGTCACCAACTTGAAAGTAAGCATTGACCTTGATTTCGTCCGCAGTGGTTCCATTCTCACGCGTTAATGAAAATGAAGAATCTGCAGAGGCATAGCCGTCTTAGTCACGACGGAGAGAATAATAATAATATATAAGTAAAGCACCATTTTTTATATATTAAAAGCTATTTAAGCCCAAAATATTAGTTTTTATTAGTTTTAATGAACACAAAATAACTATATGTTACTACTACTACTAATAATAATAATAATAATGAAAAAATAAAAGTAATACTAATATAAGTAACAGTACTACTACTACTTCTACTGCTGCTACTGCTGTTGCTACTTCTACTACTTCTACTACTACTATCTATAAGAATAGTGATAATAATATTTATACTTATGCAACTGCAATAATGAATCCCTTTGTTTGTGCTTTTCCTAGACAAGGGAGGACTGTTTTTAGATAGTAGGGGTGCCTAAAAGACCTCAAGACAAGACCTCAAGACAAACAAGATAAAAGACTTGCCAAAATAACAACACTGATAATATTTATGACCCCCCCCCCTGCCTTTGGAATGGTTGAGGGTACCACCCATCAATTATTCTGGAGTTTGTTAGGGACGATCCTATTAGCTGAGAAGATATCACGTGACACCCAATATTCCTTTGTTTCACAAGTGTGCACTACCACAATCTTTGTTTGTACGGAGACACGTATACAAAAGTAAATTGGATTGTGCACTTCTCTTCCCTGAACACTCTTTATGGGTTAAAAAAAAAATGTCAGTGTATACCTCCTTCTAACTCAGTCAAGTCAGTTATCTCGTCGGTTCTGTTAACGAAAATCCTCATGTCAGTTCTGTTGTCATTTAGGGAAAACTCCACCTGTTTATTAAAGCATAAAGAGGAGAACACATTCAGCATGCACACACATATCACCCAAAAAAAGAATAAATAAGAAAAGATATAAAATGAAGTGTGTACTTTATTTTTCAACAGTAATAAGAATTATTTATCACAATTTTCAAGGGATTTTAAGAATCGATCATTACCAAAAAAGTATAAAAGTATTGTTTTACATACTAACAAAAAGATATTCTGAAAGTTTGATGGGCAAGAGCAAGTAGAAGCATAGAAATAACAACATCAAATTTATTGGTTGTGTTCACACATGTACAAGCATTGCTTTTTAGTGGACCCCTCTGTTTCCAACATGTATTTCTTACATTTGTTTTGAATGCTTAATTATAATTGATTTGTAATGTTTTGTTGGAAACATGAATAAAGTGAAATTGGCAAGTGCAAAAACTTGTCTAAAATACTAACAGACGGGACTACAATATAGTTAGGGTTCCTTGGATCAATTTGGTAGGGTACGCATATTCTTAAGTTACGAGAATGGCCTTCCATTGTTTTATTTAATCTGGTCAAACGATGCAGTTTACTGCTGCATCTATGAACAAGTGTTAACCGAGATTTACCACTGTGATGCCCTGTGTAGCAGCGAAACCGGTAAAAACAGTTCCTGTTTCGACAGGCTCGCTATTGTTGAAGGCTTTGCCAGTCCTGGCCTGCAGAACGAATGTATCGTTATTGTTGTACTCCAACATAGTGTACTCCCCAAGACCATTGAAAGAATACATTCTTCCATCCAATGTGTTGATGTGGGGGTCGCCCCAGAACCATGCTGTTCATATGACAAGGATAGAAGCAATCTTGCAGTAATTCTTGACAATCATCATCATCATCATCACTATAATTATTATTAATGCCCATAACACCTGACGTTTCTTTTTGACCTGGTTAATATCATGCATGTTAAAGACACTCAGTAGTTATAGCTCTCATGGGAAACTCAACACTGTTCGGGTGTTACCCAATAAGAGGTGCTGTCAGTCACCAGAATTAGCCTTCAGTTTTATGACCAGCAGGCCTTATGTAGCGTACTGCGTTTTCCACCTATTCCCCCACATGGTAAAGTCATTATATCACTTTTCCACACCCAGAGATCTCTGAGACGAGGGGGTATATTTCTTGATTGGCCTACGGGTTCGCTGTGTGCAGACCTAATACCTGTACACACGTTAATGATTTTTATCCACCAAATCTGATGTCAGCAAATTATGGCCTTCGATCTGCACATGGAAACTGACGAGTGACTCCCTTTCATCTAATCAACTCACAGTCATTAGCGACTGCACTATTCATTTTACGTTCCGATATCTCATTATGGTCATGCCGCGTAAACAACCGTGGCAATTGCTACAGTGATCCTACATCAGGCAAACGACATCTTGTGCAAAATAATATAGCTGATAGTATACAAATGATGCATGCAATTGTCATTATATACTATATATCCACACTCAAGTTGAGGAATGGCTACTTTAGACGAAAGGTGCATACAGCCTTAACAAGAGCGACTAGATCCTTTAATGAACAAATAAAAACATTCATCATTTACTTTACAACGAAGCTCCAAATTCCTTATTGAATTATTGAACCATTGAATCATCATCCAGATAGCAACACCTCAACATTTACAATTACAATGTTATATTGCCGAGACTTTAATACCTGATCAGGTTTTCAGATATGTAAATGACAAAAAAAGTAAGCTAAAATCAGTTGTTCTTGCCACTCAGTATTTTGTCCTTGCTTTCTAGCCGTTTTCTAGCTATTTTCTTGCCATTTATGACTATTTTTGGCAATCCATGATTTAGACTCGCTGTTTATTTTGGTGAAATATCTATTTATAGCTGTTTTGTAGCAGCTTGAATTGGTGACTTTTGTGCATTTCTTATTTATTACACATATAAATGCATATATGGAACGACAACAAAACTCCTATTTTTATGCACTTTAGAAACTTTGTTTACCATGAAGCTTTAATACTTACTAATTATGATTTTCAACATAAGACATATAAAATAAAAATAAAAAAAACTTACCAGATCGCGGAGGTCTATATCGTGAGCATGTCGAAGGAGGGCGTCTTTCCTCGTACAAATCACAGAAATCTCCACCAGCTACCTGGCAGCAGTGATACCTTGGGAGCACATCATTTGCTGTATGAACAAAATAAGATAAATCTTGATCAGAACTGCTTATTCATTTCAACATATATTATTCATCACATCGTTGTGTTTCGTTGTGTTGCTACATTGTTCTTGTCAAATATAATGTCTCTGAAAACAATATACATGGGTAAAATTGTTGTCTCATTCTTGAACCCAAGCAGCTATCAATGCGTCACTAATTTGAGAGTTAAGGACAGTTTTCCTTTTGAAAATTCCCTGCATCAACAAAATATGGTCATGCAACAAAATTGATGCAGTATGTCCAGAAATGTTGCCCTTTTCTACCCATGCCCCTGGTATAAACTTTAAGGGCTCTGAAGTTATGAAGCCAAACCAAGTAGTACGTAGTAGTAGCAGAATTTAGTCGTAGGAGTAGTAATTGTAGTATAAGTAGTAGTATTAGTATTAGTAGTAGTAGTATTAGTAGTAGTAGTAGTAGTAGTAGAGTATAGTATTGGAAGTGGGAATAGTAGTAGGAGTATGGTAGTAGTAGAAGTAGTAGTAGACGGTCGTAGCAGTAGTACGAGTGTAGCAGTAGTAATTGCAGTAGTAGTAGTATTAGGAATTAGTAGTAGCAGTAGTAATATAGTATTCGTCTAATTCCATTACTACTATTATCATCACTAACATAGCATGAGCACAAATAGTCCAGAGGTAACCCAGGTTTTTTTGATGTATTATTTCAAATTTATTCATTTTTCTTTTTTATTTGTAATTTTTACAACCTGGAAATATTAATCTACAACTACGGTATGCATGTCCACTGAGCTACAAAATGCAAAGCTTATTTACGCTTACTTAATTAATACCGCCTCATATCTGGACGAGGCTTAAAGGTGATTTTCTTTTGAAATCATATAAAATACAACTGTGTGATTCGTCCTTACCAAGCCACCGTTGATAATCGTAGGTATACGCCTCATAATGAGAACTCCACCATAAGTCGATTATGTAGCCAGGTAGAAGCCCAAAAAAGTACGTACATCGGTAGCTACCCCCGAAAGGCAGCCATCGGCTTTGTTGGCAGTATGGGAACAAGCGACCTTGATGAAGATAAAGTGTAGTTCCGATCATGCATAAAAATGATAATAATAGTTATAATGACAATAGTTTCAGTAGTAGTAGTATCAATATCAATGATATAAATACTGATAATAACAATAATAATAATAACACTGATAATGACAATAATAATACACAATATTTATTAGGCGCTTAATACTGGTGTCTCTAAGCGCACCATTGTCTGACTAAAAAATTATTTACCAAAACTTATAAAAAACACACAACTTATACATCTGTTCTTTATTCAATAAATCATGTATATATAATAATAGAAATAAGAGTGAGGTCAAACATATGATCAAACCTAAGATCGAACAAACAAGAAATAAGACGGTGTGCACCTCCTTTGACTGACTCACAACTGCACAATATCATTCATGAATAACAATTGTGACAATAAAGACAATGTACAATAATAGTAGGTCCTAATAACAATAACTATAATAACAATAATGATGCTCGGTACCTAGTTGAAAAACGTTGGCCAAGCCTAAACGAGGCTTACATGAATGGGTATTTCAGTTAAAATTTTAATTGAAAATCTTGTATTTGTTATCGATGTATCGGTGAAGTTTGAAAGAGCTTGAATACGCCGGTTTCAAAGTGTTGTTTGCGAGCGACGTGAAAAAAATTGCACCTCTGATAGCAAATGGACAGTAGAGGACTTGTCCAAACTTACCAAACAAAATACTATTCCACACAGACAACTCTGATTGGTCGAACAGGTAATTGCAGAAACTATATCTTCGATCAGATACGGCCTGCCAAACAGTACACGGACATGGAGGTGTAAATAAAAGTCGTATCCACAACGATGGCCACAGGGTGGCTTGGTCTTCCGTGTACCAGTTAGAGCAGAACAGACCTGAGTTAACGAACGTGCTTGGGTTGTTGTCGAGTCTGTAAATCAATATTCCCTGCAATTACAAAGGCGAAAGAAATTGGATATGTAAACAGGCTCATTCAGATATTACGATTCTAATCAGCACCAACAAAAAGAGACAAAAATAAATTAAACAACCCCATCCCCCAAACCAATAAAACAAAAAACAGCCACAATATTTGTATTGTTTTTTAAGGGGGAAGGTATAAAATGTGAAAAGGCAACTGCGTGTTACATAAGGTCCTATGCATACTAACTTTGCTGTGGGCTATGATATACAGAAATATGAAGCATAGCCATAGGCCTGTCGTGTGTAATTCTACTGTGTTCAATTCAAACCAAATCAAGGGTCACTTTAAACTTATGTTTATGGCAAACCATTTTCTGTATATACAATGTCATTATCATACATCTAAAATCCTAAGATTGTAACTGTAAGTATGTTCATGTATAATGAGTAAATAGATATCAAATCAAATAGATGCATGTGCACAAAACCTTGCAAAATGCTCGGCTATATAAGCTAGGACAAAATATGTTTTGCTCTCTGGTGTTAATGTCTAAGTCAATACAAAAACAGAGGAATGTGATGGGCAAAATTGAGAAATTAGATTCCATACAATGATAATAATAATATTGAATAACCCTCTTTTGTGAGCTTTACCCTGGACCTATTAAAGGCCATTCAATATCATTTCATTACTGCACATACCTGAGTCCCCGACTGTGATCCAATAGACTGGTCTGGTTTGTAGCTTGAAATAAGATCGGATTCTAGTAACCGGTTCACCCATGTATACTTAGAATTGTAACCAATCCTAACTGGAACCGCCTTGGATTGGGGATTCCAGCTGAAACTACCTTGCTCATAGAACATCAGTACGCCTGTTCTTGCTCCGTTAGTAAATACTATTGCCTGGTACGTCGCCATCTGCAATGCCGAGTGAATTGGAAGGAGGTAGCCAGAATAGAGAGAGAAAAATAGGTCATTGGGTCAATAAATATAAAATCGATTTTTCTCAATGTCACCTACATTCTATTTACGGGTAAACGTATTTGACGCAATGACATAGATGTGATATGTCTAAGACAAAAAGTTGTTTCAGAAAAGAAAGATAAACTTGTATCAACTTTTGATAACGTATGGACTTTGCATGGAATTTGTAACATTTTAGTTTAATGAACTTACCTTGTAAGGCGCCTTGAGCATCTCTTGGGGTGGATATGTGCGCATTATAAATGTTGTTATTAGGTGGTCTGTCGTTTTCGACAGATCACCTATTGTTTTCGTCAGAATTTTCTTTCTTATTATTATTATTATTATTATTATTATTTATTTTTATTTCTCCGCACTTTTTTGTGTAGAGGATAACTCAAGATCAGTTTGGTCAATTTCGTTCAATTTTGGCACAGTCATGGGTCATTGTCATGAAACGTGACAGGAACATTTTCAAGGTGATCAAGTCTTCATGACGTCATCTAGGCGCCATTCTGTGTTTTTTTTTGGTACTTTCAACTCATGATCATATCTTCATAACGGAAAGGCATTTCTTATTCATATTTATCATGATTAAGGTCAATATCCGTCAGTTCAATTTCAGGTCAAAAAACGCGCGCGCATACGTCAGCGGGCGCGCAAAAAATAAAAATGCTCCAAATCGTCTCAAATTCATTTTGCATATGTTCTAGGCCCTTTTAAGCATTTTGCAAAAAAACGCGCACACGCGCATGCGTTTTCGCGCGTACTGGTGTTTTCCAACATAAAATCGCCAAATTTTCTCTGTCATCATATTTGGCACATTTTTCCAGGCATTTTGATACCTTGTTCATCTTTTTCTGCCAATTAATAACGGAATGAGGGTCCGTTTAAGATAATTTCTGTGCGTGCGAGCCCTTGTAATACATAGCATAAATGGGCAAAAACATACCTATACAAAATCCATTGTAGCGCTTTAGGATGGAAGGTGAACCTAATTTTTTCTCCATATTTTGATAGAGTATGAATTGGAGATATGATTTCATGTCTCATTTGACCCTCAATTAACTCATGACGTCATCATAATGGCCTCCGAACTCAAATATTCAATTTGCATAATATGACGTCAGAATATTTTTGGAAAATTGATTGTATCTCTGTAAATATTGATCGATTTTCTTCCAAATTTTGATATGTTCTAGCTGAGACAATTCTCTATAAATAAAGATTGACGTTTGTTTCATTTTGACAAAGGTATCATGGCGTATTTTTGCAATCAAAGGAGGCATGTCATTTTTTCACATTTTGCGTGTATTCTCTATGGGACATGACTTTTTCCAAAAACTGGATTCTACATTCCCGTCTTTCGCGAGCAATATCTCCGTCGTTTTATCTTTGTTTACGCTGAGTTTTGAGTATGTTGTAGCTGAGACAATAAGCTATCACAAATAGGCCCTCTATTTTTTGATCAGATGCCGGGATCATGCTCATATTTCACTTGCAAGGTGGAATTTGAGAATTCCATTTTCCGTTTACGTGTAGTCTCTATGGGAAATGTTTTGGTATATCGGTAACGCACTTGACTTCCGACCTCGAGGTCCCTGGTTCGAGTCCGGGCGTCTCCAACAATTTTTTTTCTTCACTTTTTTTTCTTTTTGACCTTTCACTGTACCATCTCATTTGAAAATTAAAACACATAGAATCGCAAATAATGTAATAGACAACTATATTTAATTTATTATTACCCTATTATCACTTGATCCATTACTTTTTGCGTGTAATCCTTATGGGAGATGACTTTTTCTTAAATCTGGATTCTATATTCTTGTCTGTTGCGAGCAATATCGTCATTATTTCTGCTTGGTTTTTGTTGATTTTTGAGTATGTTTTAGCTGAGACTATATGTTATCTAAATGTCCCCTCATTTTTTCAATCAGATGTCAGGATCATGCTCACGATCATGATCATGATCATCAATATCATCGTGATCATCATTGTCTGATGATGATCATGATCACCATTACTATCATGATCATCATGTTCATCATCATGATCATTGTTTACATGTCTATATAACTTCTCCCTTTCTCTATATAATAAATATTCAAATTGATTGAATATCTATTGGGTATTGAACACAGACCACCTAATTCGTCCCCATGACGAATTAAATTTCTAGTTATTATTATTATTATTTTATGATTGAATCATCTCACCTCTTCCCCAGGAATTGAACCGGGAGGTTGAAAGTCCTTCCAGGTAAACATCACAGCAGTGCTAAGCGTATCAATGACGTCATTGTTATCCGCGCCCCATGGGCTTGCCTCTAATGTTCTTAGTCTGTTCCTCAGGGCTGAAAAAAATCCTGCATGGGTCCTGCTTTCGAACACCTTGAAAAACATGAAAATTAATGTTAACATTTTAGATATACGACTCATGACAAACAGACTAGGTATTTTCGATCACAGTAGAAATAGGTTTAATTTATGCCAATTAATGTTTATAAACATGCTTTATAAATATATAACACTATAAATGCTACCTCAGTAATTTGAAGATTTTGTACAGGATCTCCAATTTACTTTATGGTAACAAATAAAATTAGGAACTGAAACGTGAAGAAAAAATGGAAACTCAACCATTTCAATTTTTTTTTAAATAATTTCATACATAAAATTTGGCATTGTAGATATCATTAGCAATGGTGATAAATTACCTACACCTTTTTTTACTCACATTTGGTGATAATAAGTGATAACATGCAGCTGTTTGAGAATAAGCATTGTTCATGTTTTGGTAAAATTTCGAAATGAGAAAAAACCACTTGGCACATAAAGTGTTAAAAATGGGGTCGCATAGTGTGCTTTCTATGCCTCATATACACAGTTGCTGGTTTGACACATGTGCTATTCCGAACAAAATTGAGAGAAGGATTGCCTTTTGCAACATAATGGCTTTGCAATTCCATAATGACAGTTAAAAAATCTACAAGCCTTTTGGTATGACTGTCTCATGATATCTGTGTTGAAGGGAGCTTATATGTGTGGAACAAAGAATTACCTGATAATATACCTGATAATATGTACTCGGGCTGCATACATACTTCATGATAAATACTTGGGCTGCATACATACCTCATGATATATACTCGTGCCGCATACATACCTCATGATATATACTCGTGCCGCATACATACCTCATGATATATACTCGTGCCGCATACATACCTGATAATATATACTCGGGCTGCATACATACCTGATAATATATACTCGAGCTGCATACATACCTGATAATATATACTCGTGCTGCATACATACCTGATAATATATACTTGAGCTGCATACGTACCTGATAAAATATACTCGTGCTGCATACATACCTGATAATATATACTTGAGCTGCATACATACCTGATAATATATACTCGTGCTGCATACATACCTGATAATATATACTCGTGCTGCGTACATACCTGATAATATATACTTGAGCTGCATACATACCTGATAATATATACTCGTGCTGCGTACATACCTGATAATATATACTCGTGCTGCATACATACCTGATAATATATACTCGTGCTGCGTACATACCTGATAATATATACTTGAGCTGCATACATACCTGATAATATATACTCGTGCTGCATACATACCTGATAATATATACTTGAGCTGCATACCTGATAAAATATACTCGTGCTGCATACATACATACCTCATGATAAATACTCTGGCTGCATTCATACCTCATGATATAAACTTGGGCTGCCAATATAAGCGTCGACAGGTGCCCCAAACACGGCAATAGCAGGATCTGATACGTATAGATCTCTTAACTCGAATCTGGAAGGATTTGTAAATTGAGTCAGCATCATTCTTGTAGGACGTTGCTTGGAAAAATGGATAATTCCTGTTGTTGTGGCCTAAAATTGTCAAAATAAAAAAGAATTAGAAAATGAAAGAGATGGTCTATACTACAAAATTGAAGAATATAGCAGCAAATACAGTATATACTGAAGCTTCAGGTCTTCCACTCATCTGACTAAAACTCAAGGATGGACAGAAGACAGAAATCAGACAATAATTAAAGAAATAAAACCCAATATTTTGGGTTTCATCTATACATTGAAAACAAACTACATGTTCCTTTAAATGTCAAAAACTGTCAGATTGTTAACCAATTGAAAACTTGTTTAAGACACATTTATTCAAAACTGCTTTTGATGAAAAAATTACTCTGCATGTTCACACTCATATATATTTCGTATTGTAATTTGTAGGTTTATTTGCACTGTTTTGTTTTATTTAATATGCTATTGTTTATCATATTGTATTTTGTTTGTTATTGTGCTTAGAGACTTCCATGGTAAGCGCTTTATAAGCACCATTTTTTTATTATTATTATTGAGGTACTTCATCAAGCAACTTTGATTATTCTAAATTACACAAAGTTTGACTTCTCAATTTTAAAAGATCTGTGGATATTTTAGTAATATGTTTTAAACATGAACTATCTCCGAGCTGGTTTATACCCTTAATAATCAGCCCAGTTCAGTGTTGATTCTGAGTTATACAATAAATTTGAAAACAACCAGCGAATACAAGAAGAAAAAGAATGACAAAGCATGGAGGTATTATTCAAAAAAAGAATCTGTTTCATGACAAGTATAAGCTCCCAGTTTAAGGATAGGAAATCATACGTGTTCAATACCCAATAGTAAGCAAATAATTACCGTTGGTGAAGGTGATGGGACAAACTATCACTTCCAAGGCGATCACGATGTAGCGTATACATTCAGATCGCCGAGGAAGTGATAGTTTGCCATCGCCTGAAACAAAAAGGTGATTATTGCTTTATATTCCACATTGGAAACATTTCACTTCTTCCGTCATTTTAGAGCAACAAGTCATCAAAAACAGCTAGGAAACGGTGTACGATACGTAGTGCATGCAGTATTGTGACGTGTGACCATAGTTCCTGCGTGAGCAAAGTCCGCATACTAACGCTGAAAGCGCTTAAAGAGCAGAGCAATACGCAGCGTATACAATTAAAGTGTAACAAACTTTTCTTCTCCCATCAATGATATGGGCGAACAGTCTTTCATCACATGATTTACTTTTGACCAATCGTAGAGCAAGATTCTTAGTATGTGGAATATGACGATTAATATTATTTTATTCACGATAAAGTTAGTTCATTCTGATCATCACCAATGACCACAAAATTACCTTTTATTTGTCTATACAATAAGAGCGCATGCACAAATGCCTTAAATACTCCATCTTATTTTTGATAGACAAGATGAAACCTTGGGATTCATGATTAAAATCAGCAATATTTTCATGACATTTCCAGTTCGCTCACATAACTTTGTTTAAAGATTTCTTTTTTGAACCCTGTAAAATATACAAACACAGCGATCAACATAACGTATTTACATTACAAAGTAAATTAGGCTCGTTAAGATACGGTGGGGTAAACCCACTCAAAATTGACTGCCGCATGTTTTTTTAAAACAAGTTATTGAACGACAATAATGGTCATACAGGAATTAACTTAGCCCTGTGTCAAAGCATACAGTTGTTTAAAGGTAAAGACCAGTATTGGCAACGCCCCAATTTCAAAAAATGAAATGGAAGCTCTCATTACCAATCATGTGAAAGAATATGTTTTGACTAATACATGATGATAAAAAATTTGCCGGGAAACCGCCTACTAATTCATATATTTGGTAAATTTATTTCTCTCATGGTCTGGTGAGAGAGATAGGGTAGTCCCATATACATCTTTCTGTGTATAGTGCTTGTAACTTTACGAAGAATGAGCCAAATTTCTTATCATTTTGATGATTCCAGAACCTTGCAGATGCTAGATGCTAGATGATCGACCTTTTCTGATCGATTCCACAACGTTTCTTTCACAATGCAATCGCATGACCATTACTGGTCTTTACCTTTAAAGCGCGGATTACAATTTACATGCGTCATCACAACCGCTTCATATTTGGACGCGGCTTGATAAAAGAGGAATGAGAAGTTGAGCTTACTGTCAGGAAGGAGTACAATGAATTCTCGCCTATAGGTATTCCAGTTTCTATTTCCACAGTCATGAAATCGAGTGGAGCTGCCTGAAAAGATGTTTCCTGGATAGAATCTCTATATGGAAAATAGAGTTCTGGTGGAGGAGTGGTTGGTGTGGTTCCCAATGTTGTAGATGGTGTTGTAGCTGGCGTTGTCACAGGTGTTGTTCCAGGTGTTGTTCCTTTGGAAAAAAATAAATTTTATATTCATTACTAAAGAACATTACACCTATATTCAAGATTTCTGCGCTTAGTTTACTTGAATATCAGTTGCTGTTTGGCATTGGAAATGATAAATTTTCAAACTTCTTACAGAGGCACTGGCCACATGACATTCAGCTTGCTTACCAGCTTGGCGACCTTGAGCACCTTTCTTAAAAGCTAAAAGAGGTAAAAGAGGTAAAACGTTGAGAAAAAAGTTCCTTGAACTTAGATGAAGGCAAAGTAACTACACAACCGATTGTAGTAAACAAACTAATAGATTATTTTGAACTATGTTTGAAATATGACTACTTTGCCTGTCAATGTGGTTAAATGTTACATGAATTTGAAAGAATATTCATACTAGAAACTTCTGTCCGAATTATTTGTCTAGATGGACAGACTATTAATAGATTGAGTGATCTCCTCTGAAGATTTCCAATTAAACCTTTATCTTGCAATGAAGAAGGAATCTGGTTTAAGATTTGAATGGTTACAGCGACTGTAAAAACTTATTCCTGACAATTATCCTAGAAATTAAAAAACTAAAGTATTTTTGTGACAAATCAAGCGTTCCAACACAATATATTTGAAGTGTGTGCTTTACTCTATTCTGTATGTACATGATAATTTTTTTAAAGGACTGACATTGCATTCCCCTTTTATATTTCAGTTTTTGATTAATCAAAGATTTATCTAAATCGATTCCCTCCCAAACCATCCTAAATACAATTCAAATGAACTTTTGAACACAGAAACACTTGTTTTGTCACTTTTTAGGATTGGCCTGTTTATCATTCTAAATTACCTGGCATTGGGGTTGCAGTAGGCTCACTCGTGGTTGCAGTAGGCTCACTCGTAGTTGCAGTAGGCCCAGTCGTAGTTACAGTAGGCTCACTCGTGGTTGCAGTAGGCTCACTCGTGGTTGCGGTAGGCACACTCGTGGTTGCAGTAGGCTCACTCGTGGTTTCAGTAGGCCCAGTCGTGGTTGCAGTAAGCCTAGTCGTGGTTGCAGTGGACTCACTCGTGGTTGCAGTAGGCTCACTCGTGGTTGCAGTAGGCTCACTCGTGGTAGCAGTAGGCTCACTCGTGGTTGCAGTAGGCTCACTCGTGGTTGCAGTAGGCCCAGTCGTGGTTGCAGTAGGCTCACTCGTGGTTGCAGTAGGCTCACTCGTGGTTGCAGTAGACTCACTCATGGTTGCAGTAGGCTCACTCTTGGTTGCGGTAGGCTCACTCGTGGTTGCAGTAGGCTCATTCGTGGTTGCAGTAGGCTCACTCGTGGTTGCAGTAGACTCACTCATGGTTGCAGTAGGCTCACTCGTGGTTGCGGTAGGCTCACTCGTGGTTGCAGTAGGCTCATTCGTGGTTGCAGTAGGCTCACTCGTGGTTGCAGTAGGCTCACTCGTGGTTGCAGTAGGCTCACTCGTGGTTGCAGTAGGCCCAGTCGTGGTTGCTGTAGGCTCACTCGTGGTTGCAGTAGGCTCACTCGTGGTTGCAGAAGACTCACTCGTGGTTGCAGTAGACTCACTCATGGTTGCAGTAGGCTCACTCGTGGTTGCGGTAGGCTCACTCGTGGTTGCGGTAGGCTCATTTGTGGTTGCAGTAGGCTCACTCGTGGTTGCAGTAGGCTCACTCGTGGTTGCAGTAGACTCACTCGTGGTTGCAGTAGGCTCACTCGTGGTTGCAGTAGACCCAGTCGTGGTTGCGGTAGGCTCACTCGTGGTTGCGGTAGGCTCATTCGTGGTTGCAGTAGGCTCACTCGTGGTTGCAGTAGGCTCACTCGTGGTTGCAGTAGGCTCACTCGTGGTTGCAGTAGACCCAGTCGTGGTTGCAGTAGGCTCACTCGTGGTTGCGGTAGGCTCATTCGTGGTTGCAGTAGGCTCACTCGTGGTTGCAGTAGGCTCACTCGTGGTTGCAGTAGGCTCACTCGTGGTTGCAGTAGGCTCACTCGTGGTTGCAGTAGACCCAGTCGTGGTTGCAGTAGGCTCACTCGTGGTTGCAGTAGGCTCACTTGTGGTTGCAGTGGGCTCACTCATGGTTGCAGTGGGCTCACTCGTGGTTGCAGTAGGCTCACTCGTGATAGCAGTAGGCTCACTCGTGGTTGCAGTAGACTCACTCGTGGTTGTAGTAGGTTCACTCGTGGTTGCAGTAGGCTCACTCGTGGTTGTAGTAGGCTCACTGGTGGTTGCAGTAGGCCCAGTCGTGGTTGCAGTAGGCTCACTCGTGGTTGCAGTAGGCTCACTTGTGGTTGCAGTAGGCTCACTCGTGATAGCAGTAGGCTCACTCGTGGTTGCAGTAGGCCCAGTCTTGGTTGCAGTAGGCTCACTCGTGGTTGCAGTAGGCTCACTCGTGGTTGCAGTAGGCTCACTCGTGGTTGCAGTAGGCCCAGTCGTGGTTGCAGTAGGCTCACTCGTGGTTGCAGTGGGCTCACTCATGGTTGCAGTGGGCTCACTCGTGGTTTCAGTAGGCCCAGTCGTGGTTGCAGTAGGCCCAGTCGTGGTTGCAGTGGACTCACTCGTGGTTGCAGTAGGCTCACTCGTGGTTGCAGTAGGCTCACTCGTGGTAGCAGTAGGCTCACTCGTGGTTGCAGTAGGCTCACTCGTGGTTGCAGTAGGCCCAGTCGTGGTTGCTGTAGGCTCACTCGTGGTTGCAGTAGGCTCACTCGTGGTTGCAGTAGGCTCACTCGTGGTTGCAGTAGACTCACTCGTGGTTGCAGTAGGCTCACTCGTGGTTGCGGTAGGCTCACTCGTGGTTGCAGTAGGCTCATTCGTGGTTGCAGTAGGCTCACTCGTGGTTGCAGTAGGCTCATTCGTGGTTGCAGTAGGCTCACTCGTGGTTGCAGTAGGCTCACTCGTGGTTGCAGTAGGCTCACTCGTGGTTGCAGTAGGCTCACTCGTGGTTGCAGTAGGCCCAGTCGTGGTTGCTGTAGGCTCACTCGTGGTTGCAGTAGGCTCACTCGTGGTTGCAGAAGACTCACTCGTGGTTGCAGTAGACTCACTCATGGTTGCAGTAGGCTCACTCGTGGTTGCGGTAGGCTCACTCGTGGTTGCGGTAGGCTCATTTGTGGTTGCAGTAGGCTCACTCGTGGTTGCAGTAGGCTCACTCGTGGTTGCAGTAGACTCACTCGTGGTTGCAGTAGGCTCACTCGTGGTTGCAGTAGACCCAGTCGTGGTTGCGGTAGGCTCACTCGTGGTTGCGGTAGGCTTATTCGTGGTTGCAGTAGGCTCACTCGTGGTTGCAGTAGGCTCACTCGTGGTTGCAGTAGGCTCACTCGTGGTTGCAGTAGGCTCACTCGTGGTTGCAGTAGACCCAGTCGTGGTTGCAGTAGGCTCACTCGTGGTTGCGGTAGGCTCATTCGTGGTTGCAGTAGGCTCACTCGTGGTTGCAGTAGGCTCACTCGTGGTTGCAGTAGGCTCACTCGTGGTTGCAGTAGGCTCACTCGTGGTTGCAGTAGACCCAGTCGTGGTTGCAGTAGGCTCACTCGTGGTTGCAGTAGGCTCACTTGTGGTTGCAGTGGGCTCACTCATGGTTGCAGTGGGCTCACTCGTGGTTGCAGTAGGCTCACTCGTGATAGCAGTAGGCTCACTCGTGGTTGCAGTAGACTCACTCGTGGTTGTAGTAGGTTCACTCGTGGTTGCAGTAGGCTCACTCGTGGTTGTAGTAGGCTCACTGGTGGTTGCAGTAGGCCCAGTCGTGGTTGCAGTAGGCTCACTCGTGGTTGCAGTAGGCTCACTTGTGGTTGCAGTAGGCTCACTCGTGATAGCAGTAGGCTCACTCGTGGTTGCAGTAGGCCCAGTCTTGGTTGCAGTAGGCTCACTCGTGGTTGCAGTAGGCTCACTCGTGGTTGCAGTAGGCTCACTCGTGGTTGCAGTAGGCCCAGTCGTGGTTGCAGTAGGCTCACTCGTGGTTGCAGTGGGCTCACTCATGGTTGCAGTGGGCTCACTCGTGGTTTCAGTAGGCCCAGTCGTGGTTGCAGTAGGCCCAGTCGTGGTTGCAGTGGACTCACTCGTGGTTGCAGTAGGCTCACTCGTGGTTGCAGTAGGCTCACTCGTGGTAGCAGTAGGCTCACTCGTGGTTGCAGTAGGCTCACTCGTGGTTGCAGTAGGCCCAGTCGTGGTTGCTGTAGGCTCACTCGTGGTTGCAGTAGGCTCACTCGTGGTTGCAGTAGGCTCACTCGTGGTTGCAGTAGACTCACTCGTGGTTGCAGTAGGCTCACTCGTGGTTGCGGTAGGCTCACTCGTGGTTGCAGTAGGCTCATTCGTGGTTGCAGTAGGCTCACTCGTGGTTGCAGTAGGCTCATTCGTGGTTGCAGTAGGCTCACTCGTGGTTGCAGTGGGCTTACTCGTGGTTGTAGTGGGCTCACTCGTGGTTGCAGTAGGCTCACTCGTGGTTGCAGTAGGCTCACTCGTGGTTGCAGTAGGCTCACTCGTGGTTGCAGTAGGCCCAGTCGTGGTTGCAGTAGGCTCACTCGTGGTTGCAGTAGGCTCACTCGTGGTTGCAGTAGACCCAGTCGTGGTTGCGGTAGGCTCACTCGTGGTTGCGGTAGGCTCATTCGTGGTTGCAGTAGGCTCACTCGTGGTTGCAGTAGGCTCACTCGTGGTTGCAGTAGGCTCACTCGTGGTTGCAGTAGGCTCACTCGTGGTTGCAGTAGACCCAGTCGTGGTTGCAGTAGACCCAGTCGTGGTTGCAGTAGGCTCACTCGTGGTTGCGGTAGGCTCATTCGTGGTTGCAGTAGGCTCACTCGTGGTTGCAGTAGGCTCACTCGTGGTTGCAGTAGGCTCACTCGTGGTTGCAGTAGGCTCACTCGTGGTTGCAGTAGACCCAGTCGTGGTTGCAGTAGGCTCACTCGTGGTTGCAGTAGGCTCACTTGTAGTTGCAGTGGGCTCACTCATGGTTGCAGTGGGCTCACTCGTGGTTGCAGTAGGCTCACTCGTGATAGCAGTAGGCTCACTCGTGGTTGTAGTAGGTTCACTCGTGGTTGCAGTAGGCTCACTCGTGGTTGTAGTAGGCTCACTGGTGGTTGCAGTAGGCCCAGTCGTGGTTGCAGTAGGCTCACTCGTGGTTGCAGTAGGCTCACTTGTGGTTGCAGTAGGCTCACTCGTGATAGCAGTAGGCTCACTCGTGGTTGCAGTAGGCCCAGTCTTGGTTGCAGTAGGCTCACTCGTGGTTGCAGTAGGCTCACTCGTGGTTGCAGTAGGCTCACTCGTGGTTGCAGTAGGCCCAGTCGTGGTTGCAGTAGGCTCACTCGTGGTTGCAGTGGGCTCACTCATGGTTGCAGTGGGCTCACTCGTGGTTTCAGTAGGCCCAGTCGTGGTTGCAGTAGGCCCAGTCGTGGTTGCAGTGGACTCACTCGTGGTTGCAGTAGGCTCACTCGTGGTTGCAGTAGGCTCACTCGTGGTAGCAGTAGGCTCACTCGTGGTTGCAGTAGGCTCACTCGTGGTTGCAGTAGGCCCAGTCGTGGTTGCTGTAGGCTCACTCGTGGTTGCAGTAGGCTCACTCGTGGTTGCAGTAGGCTCACTCGTGGTTGCAGTAGACTCACTCGTGGTTGCAGTAGGCTCACTCGTGGTTGCGGTAGGCTCACTCGTGGTTGCAGTAGGCTCATTCGTGGTTGCAGTAGGCTCACTCGTGGTTGCAGTAGGCTCATTCGTGGTTGCAGTAGGCTCACTCGTGGTTGCAGTGGGCTTACTCGTGGTTGTAGTGGGCTCACTCGTGGTTGCAGTAGGCTCACTCGTGGTTGCAGTAGGCTCACTCGTGGTTGCAGTAGGCTCACTCGTGGTTGCAGTAGGCCCAGTCGTGGTTGCAGTAGGCTCACTCGTGGTTGCAGTGGGCTCACTCGTGGTTGCAGTGGGCTCACTCGTGGTTGCAATGGGCTCACTCGTGGTTGCAGTGGGCTCTCGTGGTTGCAGTAGGCTCACTCGTGATAGCAGTAGGCTCACTCGTGGTTGCAGTAGACTCACTCGTGGTTGCAGTAGGCTCACTCGTGGTTGCAGTAGGCTCACTCGTGGTTGTAGTAGGCTCACTCGTGGTTGCAGTAGGCTCACTCGTGGTTGCTGTAGACTCACTCGTGGTTGCAGTAGGCTCACTCGTGGTTGCAG